CAACAAAAAATTAACAAATGTACAGGAGATACAGCCAAAGACAGCGAAAATAATGATCCAAAAAGGGGAGACGTGTTGTTGGGGGGGGGGCAGGCCCTCCCCCCCCCCCCCCCCCCAACCATACAAACGTCTGTAAAATTCCGCAACTTTGGAGAGCTCCATTCGTTCGTTTTTAACAAATCACTTTCAAATTTGCCACCTTTACTTTCCAGCTGTGTTGACGGTTTTTCTCCAACTGTTCCTTGTAAAAGTTGAAAAACCGTGGAAGGATCTACTTAAAAGAACATACATAAACTGCACTTTTTTACGTAAGTTCTTTCAAATAAATACTAGTACTGTTTCCGTTCAATTGTTGACGTACATAAATCGGGTTCTTGAGGTCCATCACTATATATCCCATTTAGTACTACTGAAATACAAAGCTTTCTTAACACATGTATATCAGGATATTATCTTTTTTTAAAGAGCTACAATCAGGGAAAAAAGTAGTTGACACACTTGTCTAAAACGGCGCTTTTATCAACAAATTCATTCATTTATCATTCCATTCTGTTTAAGCACCGTAAATCCCCCACCCCCGAATCAATGTTGTTTGTAGTCTAGTCAATGTCGTTTGTAAGAGTTGAGGGTCTAAAATACAACATTAATTTTGAGGGGGAGGGGTGGGAATACAAAGGGGGAGGAGAAAGGAGTGTCCACTATGCAAAAAGGGGCCATTTTATTGAAGCGTCCCAACATATTTGTCCCTCATTCTATTTTGCAAAGTTATAATCATTTTCGATCAACTACTTATGAGCTACTAATCCTCAAGCATTGAAAATGGATAAAATAATAGGCGAAAAATATGTTTCGGTTAGGTTCAAGTAAACCTCAAGGCTGCCTTAATTACCTGGATGACATGTAGGAAGAAAAATGTCTTTCTTGCCGTCCATTCTCTCTTTTGTGCAATCCCTCTGTCCTCCAACACAGAAATAGCACTGGATAGAATATGCTGTAGTAAAAATTAATACGTTCTAATACATTTGAAAGAATTGAAAATTTGGTAAATCAAAGA